CTAGGATGACCCTTTGTTTCTAATCCTTGTTGTTAGGAGTACTTGTTGAACCCTGATGAGAAGTGCATCCATGTGGCAGACAATTATGAAATCCACCAAATGATCTTTAAGAAGAATCTCAGCATTCAAAGATTGCTCATATGTGACATCAGCACCCACGGATGCAGTGGTGCTGCTCAAGTACCCATGGATCCAGGGCTGTGGAACAGTCCCTCCCAGGCAGAACCAAGCCACCAGCCAGTCCTGCAGGGAGAAAAGAGTACAAAGTTTTGGTGCCACAAGTCTATTGCCTCTGAGTATTCCTCCTTGTCAACAAGGGATAATCCTGAATACCCCATGAAGGTACAAATTAAAGGACTTCATTGGAAATCATAGGCATGTAAGAGCTGTGAGACTGAGCTAATCTCATTTAAGAAGCGAGTCTCTGGCTAGAGCCATTCAACTATTCTGTTATTCTATTTTTTGCTGTTACTTGGCATTTTTCATGTAATTCCTGAGACCCACACATTAGCTGTTGGTTTGCATGATATAAAATCAAACGAGGGAATTTATGTTTTAATTTTTTATTGAAATTTTTACCCAATTCTTATTTGTTTTAAACTAGCTATTACAAATACCTTTGAGAAAAAAGGCTCTTAGTAACCTCATGCCCTCCTGTATAGTCACGGTTCTCCAGAGAAACAGAACCAGTTAAGATAGATATAAATATCTATATATCTATAGGAACATCTATATATATGGAGAGAGAGAGAGAGAAAGAGAGAAATTGTAGGGGCTTGAAAGTCCAAAGTCAATAGGTAAGGTCCATAGGCTAAACTTATCTGCAGTAGTTGATATTGCAGTTTTGAGTCCAAAGGTAGTTTGGAGACAATATTCCTTCTTCTTCTTGAGATCTGTCTTTTCTCTTAAAGCCTTCAACTGATTGGATGAGGCCCACCCACATTATGGAAGATAATTTGCTTTACTCAAAGTCTACTGATTTAAATGTTAATCTACCCTAATAAAAGAGAAAGATGCAAATTGGCCATACCTTCGTGGCACCCACCCCCCAATCAGGAGTGAGTATGCAAATTAACCCAACAAACATGGTGGGTTAATTTGCATATGCAGGCACCGAGAGGCCAGGGGTGGGATGGGACTCTTGCCATGGCAACGACGCAGGCCTTCTGCACTGCCCCAGCCCTCCGGGCCTCTAGGCAGCGTAGGAAGGCAGAAAGGCAGCTCTGGGCTGGAACAAAGGTGAAAGGCAGAGCCAGGGGAAAGAAGGCCCATTCTTGCACGAATCTTTGTGCGTCGGGCCTCTAGTCACATATTAGAAGAAAAATAGCTTCACAGCAACAATTGGACACCATAGTCTAGCCAAGTTGATACATAAAATTAACCATTACAGTTCCTGCTCAGAATGGCATCTTACCTTCTATTTCCTAGCTTTCCACTTCCTGGTGACTTATGACCCCCCCTCCTTGCCCCAACCTTGCTTATCCATCTTTATCTCTATCTTTATCTATAGATCTGCACTGTCAAACACTGTAGCACTAGATACCTAAGCCAGTTGCTTAGATGTGTGTACCCTCAAAAGGCTGTCGTAGGGTTTAAAAATGAGGCAATGAATGTTACACCAGTATAAATGCTCAGTGGCAGGAGAGGTTACATGCATGTGACATCACATCCTTTCACCCACCTCCTATGTCCTCTAAAATATAAATTTTCAGAAATTAAAATTAAATGAAATTAAAAATTAAGTTCCTCAACATTAGCCGTATTCAATTGCCTAATAGCTACATGCAGGTAGTGGTTACCATATAGGACAACACAGAATAGGACATTTCCATAATTTCTGAAAGTCCCGTTGTACAGAGTTATTTTAGAAGTTTCTTCACTGTGGCTTTGCCTTCACTATCTAGGCCTCTTCCCTCCTCTACTGGCTCTTAATCTCAGAGTTTCAGGTTTGCAGTTTCTTTGACCATCTGGATAGTCACATCAATCCTCAATGAGAATGTTGTAAAAAGATATTTTGATGCATTTGTGTAGCTGTTGCATAGAATGCTTGCGTATTAGTCAGGAAAAGTAATGCCCATTGCTGAAACAAACAACCCAAAAATATCAGTGACTCAACATAAGGTTTATTTCTTGCCCAAGACACATTCCTGTGCCCTTTCAGTTATCCACTCTTCTTCCAGAGCCTCATAGTTCTCCATTGGATCTTCTGCATCTAGCTGGGCAACTAATGAAAAACGGAGAAGAGGACTCAGAATGTTTTGGGGCCAGGCCTGGAAGTGCCTGTATCACTTCTGCTCATGTTTCACTGGTGAGACCAGGTCTTATAGACCCATTTAACTGCTAGAAAGGATGAGAAATGTATTACCTCTGAGTGCCAAGTAGAAATATTACACTTCCATTTGATATGGAAGCTAAGAAAGGATAAATTTTGGAATTGGAACAAGTCTGTTTGCAAATTCTAGCACTACTTCTGGGCAGCATGATCTTAAGCCAGTTGCTTAGATGTGTGTACCCTCAAAAGGCTGTCGTAGGGTTTAAAAATGAGGCAATGAATGTTACACCAGTATAAATGCTCAGTGGCAGGAGAGGTTACATGCATGTGACATCACATCCTTTCACCCACCTCCTACTTTTGAGTCATCTCTACTTACAAAGCAAATTTTCCAATAGCATAGGATGCATTGTCTAATATTTCTGCATAATAATTGCAAAAATGAAATGATTTGCCATGTTTATGTCTGTTATGGGTTGAATTGTGTTCCCAATTCTTATATGGAAGTCCCAACTCCCAGTACCTCGCAATGTAACCTTATTTGGAAATAGAGTCATTGCAGATGTAATTAGTTAAGATGGAGAAAGATGGGGCACTAATCCAATATGGCTGGTATTCTTATAAACAGAGAAATTTGGAGACACACACGCACACAGGGAGAATTCCATGTGGAGATGAAAGAAGAGACCAAAGTGACACATCCACAAGCCAAGAATGCCAAAGATTGCTGGCAACCACCAGAAACAGAGGCGAGGCATGGAACAGAGTCTTCTTCAGAGCCCTCAGAAGGAACCAATCCTGTCAACACCTTGATCTCAAGACTTCTGGCCCCCAGAACTATGACACTAAACATTTCTATTGTTTAAGCACCCAGTTGCAGTACCTTATTATGACAACCCTGGGAAACTTCTACAATATCCAAGTTCATATATCCAAGCTCATATATACAGGCTTTAATTTAAAAATTGCATGGTACTTATATTTTAAAATGTAAAATTATAATGTCAACATATTTCTAAAATCAATTTCTCATTCATTGAGTCAACTGTTTTTGAGCTGCAAAAACAGTAATTTAATATGGTTTACTCTAAGATCCTATGACTACAGGGCTTTCCTTGTGGTTGTTTAATGGGGCTATTAAAGACCCATCTTTTGAGCTAGAGTCATTAATATTACATAGATTACCAGCTGTGTGACCTTGGTCAAATTCCTTACCTCTCCCGATCTGTTTTCCTGTTTAGAAAAGAGTGTGAGGCTAGATTCTTCCTAACTTCTAGCTAAGACATTTTGTGGCCTATTGGAACACTTGCCAATCTAGGCAGATTTGATGTTCTGCAGTCCAGGTAGTTCAAAGCAGAGCTGCATATAGTAATCAGCTCTGCTAATATAAAGGGATTTAAGAACAATATTACAAAAGAGTGCTCTAGCAAATTAAATATGCCAAGTGAAGAGCTTCACATTTCTTAAAAGTCTGTTACCATTTAGAATGCATAATTTTAGCCTAAGTATTCTAGAAATATTCACTTAGTTTGCTATGTGTTATTGTTAATAAAGGGGGTCCTGCATGTAGATTTTTCATATGTCATTAATAAATCAACCATACAATTCAAATTATAATTATTTTGAATTATCTATTTAGTGTTAAATTATAGCTTAGACATTCCTAAAATGGCCTAATAAAATTTGGGATGTTAAGTGATTGCCTAATCTACTTTGTGTATTTGTGGAAAATAATTAGTTATGTTAATTGTTTGGAGGATTTTTTTAAAAATATATTTTATTGATTTTTCACAGAGAGGAAGGGAGAGAGATAGAGAGTCAGAAACATCGATGAGAGAGAAACATCGATCAGCTGCCTCCTGCACACCCCCCACTGGGGATGTGCCCGCAACACAGGTACATGCCCTTGACCGGAATCGAACCTGGGACCTTTCAGTCCGCAGGCCGACGCTCTATCCACTGAGCCAAACCGGTTTCGGCTGGAGGATTTTTATTATCATCTAAAAACTATTCTGGATGAGGTTAGACCTAAAAAAAAAAAATCCTAAAAACATGCTTTTTTTTTTTTTTGCCCTCATCCCTTCTAGGGTTGTAGTAAAATGTTGTTTGCACTAAAATCTATAAGGTAAACCTTGTATACTACCATGGGATCCATTTGGTATAATGCTTTGATATAACAACTAAGTAAAAGTAACATCAGTAGTTATTAAATCCTGGACAAGAGGGTCCCTGCCTGGCTTCTCTATATTACAGAGCCTGTTCTGGCCCTTATCTGGCCATGACACTTCATGTAAGGCGAGGTGGCCCCAGGGCCAGGGACGATGCTTACCTCCCTCCTTACACACACATTCCAAGTACAGGTACCCACCACCCTGATCCTTTTCATGTCTAGAAAAGTGTGCGGCTAGGTTGGACCCAGCCCCCTGGGGGGGGGGGCGGGAGGCGAGATCAAGGGTGGCTTTCTGACTTGGCGCTCAGAAAAGGGCTCCGCTTGGAGGTGTAGCTCTAGCATCTCTCCTGTGAGAATTTTGAAGGGTTACGGGGAAGGAAGACGCCTGACTCTGGACGGAGAGGCCTCGGTAACGAGCCCCACCGCGGCCAGCTTCTCCACCAGCAGGGAGCCTTTAGCTCGCGGGCTCTGAGTCGGCCTGCGTCTGCCCCGCCCCTCCACGGCGCCCCGCCCCTTCTCAGCTCCTCCCCCTGCGCGGCTTTGGGGCACGGTGTTTACCCGCGGTGCATGGTGGGGCCGTTGCCTCGGAAGCCCCGGTTCCCGGGTGGCCAGAGGCGGACGGAAGCGAGAGCAGCGGCGGAGGCGGCAGCATGGTCCCGGCCTCCGCACCGCCCTGGCTCCCGGAGAGCCCCGAGTACTACGAGAGGCTGCGCCGCCTCCAGCTCGAGCTGCGGGACAGGTACGGCCTATCGGAGCGTGGGGGGGACTCGGCCAGCTCCGTGGGTCAGCTGGTGCCCACCCCCCGTTTCTTACCCCTCTCCCGCCCGTGGTTCCCTGGGCCCGGGTCGGCACCGACGTCCCCACGCTCCGGGTGACGCCTGGAGGACCACGTTTACCGGAGACCCCTCACTTATTGGCGGTCTCCCGCGGCGGGATGCTGCAGTGAGAGTGGGAGTTCTCCTGCCTGTCATTCTGATCAAGCGAATGTGTGAACGTCTCCAGTCCCATCCACATGCCTCCTCCCAGTCTCTTCAAGTTGTCATCCCACCCCGGCAGCGGCAGCGCGCTGCAGCGAAGATGACAGGTCCAGGAGCGTGTGTGTGTGTGTGTGTGTGTGTGTGTGTGTGTGTGTGTGTGTGTGTGTGTGTGTGTGTGTGTGTGTGTGTGTGTGTGTGAGAGAGAGAGAGAGAGAGAGAGAGAGAGAGATTCCCTGCTTAAGTACAGAAGACTTTGGGCGACAAGATACCCAGCGCAAGGATGAAATTTCCAGGGAGAGAAGTGCAGCCTCCAGAGGGTCCAAGATACCTTGATTAATAACTTGATTAAGACATGAAAGATGAGAACCACAGAAAACAAGATCTAAGCACATAAGAGGGAAAATTATAAAGTAATTTACTATAAATAATCACATCAAAGATAAGTTGTTGGAACTATTATGTAGCTCCTAAATTAATTGAAACTAGAAATCTCATTAGTTGAAAGGAAATAGATCTTTGGATCTAATGATAACACGTTTAATGAGTGTTAAAAGTTACAAAATCATTTTAGTGAAGAGGAGAGCTGTGTGTCGGGGGGGGGGTGACAGTTCTAAAATGACAATTACATGTCAGGTAAAGGCAGAAGTGATTTTTGAAAGGAATTATATTCATCTTATACTAGCTTTGATTCTTGTAAAATATCTATAGAGCATCTACAATAGGCCTTCTTAATTGTCCTAATCATATTTTACCTCTTAATCTCTTTCTACATCCTCTTTCTTTCTGACATGCCACTAATCACCCACCCCAGTGACCTCTTCATCTCCAGCTTTAAAAAAAACTCTTCCTGAAGTGCATCCCCTGCACCAAGTACTGACAACCCATTCCCTAACTTCTGTGACCTTGGATTCTTACAGCACTCTAGATAATGGCTTTAAGTGACTTGCTCCCCGCCCAGACTGAGAATTCCAGGAGGACAGGAATTATATCTAACTGGATCTTTAGCTTGTGATAGAGTACGTGATACGTAGAAGGGGCTTGATAAATATTTGTTGAATGAATGGAAGGAATGCCAAAGTCAGCCAGCTAGTGTCCAGGAGTTATGAATGTCTTGTATAGAACCCGGTAGCCGCACATTGAGACCAAATAATGACCATTTTCCAAGTAACCAGGAAAAGTGGACAGTGTGATATTTCAAAGATGATATTAACTGTCTGCACATCCCTGATAATTAAGAGATGAGACATTGCTCTGTAAATTAGTGTTTTTTGACTCTGTTCTTTAAAAGAGTAGCTGAGTTACTCCAAGCCTTTAGTTATGTGTACCTCTTAGCCCAAGTTCTTTTTATTTTTTATTGGTTTTATTGATTTTTAGAGAGGAATGGAGAGAGAGAGAGAGAGAGAGAGAGAGAGAGAGAGAGAGAGAGAGAAACTTAAGTGAGAGAGAGAAATTCATCAGCTGCCTCCTGCATGTGACTGGGAATTAAACTGGTGACCTCTTGGTTCATAGGTTGATGCTCAAGCACCAGCCGGGCTTAGCCCAAGTTCAAATTTCAAAATGTTACTGGTTCAAATGGCATTCTTTTTGAACTAATTGTGAGTTATCATTCTTTGCTTCCTCTGCTAGAACACCTGGCTGTTTATAGTCCTTGAAGTATAACTATGTCATTATTATTGCTCACTTTATGTTTCACATTAAATACTTAACTATGTAGCAAGGTGAGGCTGTTGAAATTATATAATGAATTTGAGTCAAATTGTATAACCTATTTATGGTTCTGGGTTTAGAGGTTTGTTTTATTTTTAAGTCAGTACAATTCTGTTCCTCCATATTCACTTTTTTTTTTTAAAGTCTGTAACTAGCTCTGGCACATAGTTAATAAATACAGAGGCAAATAACTTTGGATTCAGAGAAAACTGCAGTAGAGCCGTGGAAACCTGGGTTCTAGTCCATGAACAGTTGTGTCACCTTGAGTAGGTCATTCAGCTTCTTTGAACCTTAGTTCTTCACCAGAAATGAGGAACCTTGATTAATATGTAAAGTAAGGCCTCAGCTTTTCTTTTTGTCTCTGCTGGAGTAAAGAGCCTTGGAGTAAAAGAGTTGAAACGTGTAGTTTTGCAGAGCAAACTGAGTATCATTGCTTTCTATTTGAGTGTTTGAATGCCCCCCCCCTTTTTTAACCAATCCCAGCAATCAAAAGGACCATTGTCTCTTAAAACTCAAGAGTAATTTTAAAGACTGCAATCCTGGGTATTCGCTTTATAAAAAATTTTCTAGGAGTACAAGATAAAAAAAAAAAACTTGTCCTTTCTCAGCCCTCTTTGAGGTGGGTCATTGCAATGTTAGCTGGTCTAATAATGGGCTTTTCCCTTGTAGCCGGTGTATTTGTAGCTCAAATTATCTTAGCTGTAGTCACACAGATGCGATTTTATATTCTAAAACGTCTCCTTTTTGTGTACAGCGTTTTCTCTGCACTGTGGTGAAAGTCAATCATTGAATCTGAAAGAGCCTAGTAAAGTGACTTGTTACAGTGTGCGTAGTGCTGCAAGCATGGTAGAAACATGTAAGTGGAATTGACTCTTGCAATTATATAAAAACGTTCCTTTAAGAGGCCCATTAACCAGACCCAGTTTTTTTCAATGCCATTATTGATTCACGGTGAGATATCATAATAGTTCAGAAATTGACACTGAGATATTTGTTGAGTGACGCTGAAGATGGTATTGAGACTAAAGCAGAATAACTAGTGGCTTAAAAGGAGAAAAGTAAACATGGCTGCACTTTAACGACTGCCCAGCTGTGTAAAAGTTAAAAAGATTGTAGGTGGGGGTCTGGGGGTGGGGATTCAGGTGACTGAAACCACAAACTATGGGTACCCATCCCAGGGCTGGATGTTTCCAAATATACTGAAATAAAGATTTAACATGTAGAAATTGCAAGAGGATCCTCCAAATACACCTTTCTCTGGCTTTTTATTGGAGTAAGTATATGGTTTTAAGTCTTAAATTTAAAACATATATGAAAGACAGCATTCAGAGGTGGTAGGGCGTGGATGACGAGGCTAGAAACGGCCTGGGTTGAAGAATTGATGAGATTGTAATCATTTTGCCTGGAATAGGAGGCCAAGAGGTGTTTGATTGTGGCTTTTCAGTGTATGAAATGTCACCATAGAGAACAAGTATGGCCAGCAGATGCCTGTATTGTAAGTCATGAGAAAGAAGACACCTACTAAGAAGGGCTACTAGTGGCTAAGTGGGCTCAAACTAAAACAACAACAGAAAAACATCAAAAACAAAAACAAAAACAGCCTAGCTGCTGTTTCTACACAGGGACCTCTTATGCAAACTGCCCTTCAAGGAGAGACCTGCACCAAGCTGCCTGCCTGCACTGTGTTCCTGCCATCTGAGCCAGCCCTGTTATAAAGGAGTCTCTGGAATCCCATTTTAACCAATAGGACTGAGGTGTTCCCCATCCAATCAGATTGTGCAGCTCCAACCAACCAGAGCAGCTCTATCCTGACCAATCAGGACAGTGCCTTTTGGACCAATCAATCTGAAGATTTGGTGTGCTCATTTGCATGAGAATAGACCAATTAGGGATCAGAAGTGGGGATTTCTGTCCATGTAAGCCAGGATCCTGTCTTTGAGAGTTCATTTGCCCTTTCTACCCAAGACTGTTTCCCTGGCTGAGGTCAAACACCAAAGATGTCTAGTCTGGCAGGAGCAGAGTGGATCAGACAATAGAAGAGCAGAACAGAGCTGTGCATCCTGAGAGGGGCTGGTTCCAGGGCTGCTTCATAGCCAGGCTGTATTGCAATTGAGCTGTTTTGCACTGAATAAAGTTTCCTTCTTTGCCACTCCAAATAGGAATTCCTGTTGGTGTTGAATTGGCCCAAATGACCAGTATCTATAGAAGGTTAAGCAGGAACAAAGTTGATCATTATTAACATTCATTATTAAAAAGAACTAGTTGCCCAGCTGGTGTGGCTCAGTGGTTGAGCATCAACCTATGAACCAGGAGGTCACAGTTTGATTCTGGGTCAGGGCACATGCCAGGATTATGGGCTCAATCTCCAGTAGGGGTTGTGCAAGAGGCAGCCAATCAATGATTCTCATCATTGATGTTTCTATCCTTCTTCCTTCCTCTCTGAAATCAATAAAAATAAAAAGAATTTGTTGCTTGGGAGCTGATGGATTTCCAGTCTGTGGACCTGTTTCACTAGAAGTCATAGTTGCATTTTAAAAATTATACTAAAGTTCAGGTTTACATAAGACTTGGAAAGTAGGACAAAGACCTCTAGTATTCCCCTCACCTAGGTTTCTCAACTCAACATTTTCTTTTTCTCTATCTACTTATCTATCTAAAACTATTAGTCTTTTCTGAATAATTTTAGAATTATAAGTATGATGCCCCCTCTGTGAACCCATGTTGTGTTTGGTTGCCATGCCTCTGTGCTCTCTGCCAGTCTGGAACTGTTCCTCAGTCTTTCCCTGTTTTTCATGTTCCTGAGAGTTTCACAGAGTACAGCTTTCATTCCAGAGGGTGATCCTCAAACTGGGTCCACTTGATGTTTCTTCATGACCAGACTGGTCATACTTTCTTGACAGGAACACCATAGATATGAAGCATGACACCAAGGGCACAAGGTCGTAAGTGCATTTAAGAGTGTCTTTGTCCTTGTAATTTAATGACAAATTGCTTACACTGTCCAGTCATTCATTCTTCATTAATTGCAATTGTGCCATATTTCCTTCATTTCTAAATTAAGTCTTATTAAGTAAAAACCTATGAGAAACTATTCATTTTAAAATTATGTTTCTAGCCCTAGCCGGCTTGGTTCAGTGGATAAAGTGTTGGCTTGTGGACGGAGAGTCCCGGGTTTGATTCTGATCAGGGCACATACCCCGGTTGCGGGCTCGATCCCCAGTAGGGGTGTGCAGGAGGCAGCCAATCAATGATTCTCTCTCATCATTGATGTTTCTATCTATCTCTCCCCCTCCCTTCCTCTCTAAAATCAATAAAAATCTTTTTTTTAAAATAATTGTGTTTCTATAAGTTTTTCCGTTTAATCTTTGATTCTTTTTTTTTAACATAGGCATACCCCCAACTAAGGAATAGATTATATTCCCCAAGCAAAGATTAGGTGTTTGGATTTTGTATCCCATTTTTCCATTAAAAGAGTTTCAGTTAAATTGTGCTAAACAATGAAATTTACTTAACCTATCATATAGCTAACAGAGTAAATTTGGGGCTTTTTTTTTTTTAAGGAAAAATTATCTGAAAGAAAAACGGATTATGAGCTCATAAATGGAATGTGGGCTCAGCCCCTTTCCTTCAAGAGAACAACCTGAGCTCACCTTCTGTTGGACTCCTTGTCTTTGATTCACAGTATTTTTTATAACATTTTCTTCTCAGACATTATATGATTTCTCTTTCGGCCTTTAGTTAATGTTAACTTAGATTAGCAACATGACCTCAATTAGACAAGACTGAAGCCGGGACTTTGGCGGTGGTCATGCGGAGTCCTCTGTGGGTAAACCTCCCAAGAGCTTTTTAGAGGACCAGGATGGCTTCCCATTCAGCAGTTTCACCCCCTAGTCCCTTGGTTTTGGCTGCTGCCCTCTCCAGTCCCCCCTCCCCCCCCTTCTTGCCCAGGCCGGGTGTGCAGGGTAAGCTTTCTCCTCACTTATTTCCAGCACCGACCTGAACATCAAGGCTAAGTCTTTACTGGTGGTAGCTCCAGGGAATAGCAGTTAATGACAAATCATGGTGATGTTACAAAGTTATAAAAAGAAAACCCCCCAAATTTGAAGTAATAGTGTTAGGTGACCTGGTCTTCACTAAATGTCAGTGAGGCCAGGTTTATTTTTTCAGAGACCTATTCCTAACTCAGACACTTGGCTCTGCCCAAGCTTGACTGGTTGGGAGCAGAGCAAGTCACCAGTCTTTAGTCCAAGGTGGATTTGTGGAAGCATCATGTCCAGTCCTGATGTGCCACCATCGCAGAGATACCTGGCCATATTACATCTTACGTATTTGTATGTTTATTGTCTGTCCTTCCCCCGAGAATGTCAGCTGCCTGATGACAGGGTTCTTGGTTGCTTTGTTCACCATGTTAGTCTGTAGGCCTAGAACTTATTTATTGCCTGGCTCATCATGGTACTCAAGAAATACTTGTTGAATGAATGAACCTGGCTCTCAGCCTTTTCTTAGGGCATTCCCCATTTACTTTAGAAGCTTGTTGTTTCTGCTTTGTGTTAGTGTCCTCTTTGCTTTTTAGACATCCCTGGTGACGGCTAAGTAATTTTAGGTCTTGAGTTTCAGATACAGCCAGCATTTTCTGTTTCTTAGACCAGAGAAGCATTCTCACAAAAGTGTGATTTCAAAGGCGACTATATTCTAAATTCAATAGCCAATTACTTACCAGTATAATTATTTATAAAATATTTTCTTTCTGTACTACAGTGAAAAGAAGAGATTGGAGCTGGAAAAGAAACTTTATGAATATAGTCAATCTAATATATACAGGTAAGATATGACAGTGGTAACAGTTTTTAAGCCACTTTGCATATGTTAATTAAAATTTAACCCTAATTATGTTGTAAATACCATAGTTGCAGAACTTTCACCCTTCTCTTATTTTAATATGTAATAGTTTCAAGTAAACACTGCAATATAATGACTATCAAATGTAAGAATAAATTTGATTAAAACTAGCATAAGATAAAATATTTTTTTTCATTATTTGGAGTCTATTTTTCTTAAACAGCTTAAGAGTTAGATACATTATAGTCTGCTAACTTTTTGTTAACAATTTACCCATTAAGCTTGTGTAATAATTAACGCATAATTATTATAGCTGACCTTTCAACAAACTATTTTAGGCAGGGTTACATAGTGTCCCATTTGTTCCCAGATATATGACAATGAATGTTAAAGTTACTATGGACAATAAATAATATACATGCTATCCTTTTTAGGTTACTTACTCTAATATTGAGAGCAGACTTTTACTTTTAATTCTATAATATGGAAACTGAACTTCATCCTTAAGCCAAATGTATAGTGTTACTGCCAGTATTACTTATATGGAAAATTTCTGGCTATGATAGTACTAAGTTTGAAATTTATTCATATCATAATGAGTGAAAAATGAAAACATCTTATCCAGAAGAGAGAGAAGCCAAGAATGCTTTAAAACCAAGTCACCGTCCTTTTATTTCCTGATCTTCCACATTATTCTTTGATTTTAAGATTTAATATACTTCCAATGGCACCAGCAGGGAGGACAGTCATAAGTCTCTGGGCTCTAGGAGGGATGAGAAGAGGCTACAAGATGATGGAAGAAATAGCAGTGTTGTGGATGCCATGGCCTTAAAAGTGGGCCCAGGTCTTAGAGGATCCATAGCAGTTGCCATTTTTCTAGCCCACAGCCAAAGGGGCAGAAGAAAGAAAAAAAAATGCACTCTTTGTGGCCTGTTCTGAGACAACTTCCTGACATGATGGTGGCGAGAGAATTATGGGAGCCTTTATCAAGCTATCAGTTTTCTGAGTTTGTTCCCCCCTCTCAAGCTCTTGTTTCCTGGGAGACACAGGGTATGGTTTTCTAAAAAGATGCTTTCCTTGACTGCCTGTAGGATAAACTCCTGTCTCACATGGTTGCCTCAACCTGGTTACCCCAGAAGGCAGAGTCTGAGACAAGGATTGTGTGTAGGTAGTAGGTGTTTTTTTTTTTGGTTTTTGTTTTTGTGGGTAGTCATGTGTTTTTTTCAGGAAGTGGTCACATAAAACTGGAGAACAGGGCTGGGAAGAATGAAGTAGGAGTTGGTCACTGCTCTGAGCCCCTGGGCTGATCCCTCCTGACCTTCAGAGGCACAGTGTCAATCGCCTCTCTGCTCCTCACAAGTGTCCGCGCAAGGAAGGAAAGGGGGGCGCTTTAACCTCCTGGTTTCTGACCCCCATTGGTCAGGGCCGTGGCAGGGGGGGTTAACTCCTTCTCATACCCAGGTTTTCCTTGTTGCAAATTCAGAAAAGCAGCCCTGGGAAAGCAAGATAGCAGGCACAGCTGAGGCAGGTGCTACCCGGTTGCTGCAGTCGTGACTGGTAGAAGAAAAGCTGGGGCAGGAGGATGTGAGGAGGGCACGGGAAGTGTCGGGTACAAGGGCTTACCATGCCCACCATTATCTGACCCTGCTGGCCTCTCCCTTACATTTTACATGGACTAAAACTTCAGTTTCTGAAGCATGACAGGATCTTTTGTGGTATAGTGTAAACAGGTAGATTCTGTTGCCAAGTCCTTCGATTTAGCCTGAGCCCCACCAGCTCTTAGCCATGTGACCTTGGGACAATTACTTCAACATTCTGTGTCTCCGTTTTTTATCTATCAAATTGGAGTAAGTGTCTGACCCAGAGTAAGAGTCAATGTTATTTATTATTATTTTTGTCATATCACTGTTATTCATCTTTGAACTTTCCTACATACTACTTCCTCTGATCCAGTGTTTTCCCCTCAACTGTTCACTCTTGCTTTCCCCAATTTTGAATTAAGTCTTAACCAACCTTCATGTCAGCTGAAAAATAATTTCTACTGGGGAGGCTTTCCTGACCCCTTCAACTAGTCAGGTTGCCCAGTCCTGTCAGAGCCCCTTGCAGTGTCCCACATAGCATTCCTTACACTGTATTTTACTTATCTCATTTATTAAAATGTATTTATTGTCTAAAGTTTTACATATGTTTCGTTTTTCCCCACTTGACATCTGCCCCCCCCATCCATTCCCACCCTGGGCAAGCCCCCACTGCCCCAGTGTCTGTGTCCATTGGTTATGCTAATATGCATGCATACAAGTCCTTTGGTTGCTCTCTAACCCTTCCCCTCCTTGGCCATTTGTCTCTCTGGATCTATTATTGTTCATCAAACTATGTTGATCATTATATCCCACATATGAGTGAGATCAAGTGACATTTATCTTTCTCCGACTGGCTTATTTCACTTAGCATAATGTTCTCCAGTTCCATCCATGCTGTTGCAAATGGCGAAAGTTCTTTTTTATAGCAGCATAGTATTCCATTGTGTAGATGTACCACAGTTTTCTAATCCACTCATCTATTGATGGGCACTTAGGCTGTTTCCAAATCTTAGCTATTTTAAATTGTGCTGCTATGAACATAGGGATGCATATATCCTTTCTGATTGGTGTTTCTGGTTTCTTAGGAAATAGTCCTAGAAGTGGGATTACTGGGTCAAATGGGAGTTCCATTTTTAGTTTTTTGAGGAAACTCCATACTGTTCTCCACAGTGGCTGCACCAGTCTGAATTCCCACCAGCAGTGCACGAGGGTTCCTTTTTCTCCACATCCTTGCCAGCACTTGTATTTGTTGATGATAGCCATTCTGACAGATGTGAGATGATACCGCATTGTTATTTTGATTTGCATCTCTCGGATGATTAGTGACTTTGAGCATGTTTTCATATGTTTCTCAGCCTTCTGTACGTCCCCTTTCGAAAGGTGTCTATTTAGGTCCTCTGCCAATTTTTTGATTGGATTGTTTATCTTCCTTTTGTTAGGTAGTATGAGTTCTCTGTAAATTTTTCAGATTAAACCCTTATCTGAAATATCATTGGCAAATATGTTCTCCCATGCGACTCTATTGTATGCTCTTGCCTCCTTTGTCAAATATTAATTGAGCATAATCGCTTGGGTCGAATTCTGGGGTCTCTGTTCTGTTCCATTGATCTCTATGTCTGTTCTTGTGCCAGTACCAGGCAGTTTTGAGAACCGTGGCTTGGTAATATAGTTTGATAACTGCTATTGTGATCCCTTCAACTTTGTTCTTCCTCAGGATTGCTGTGGCTATTCAAGGACTTTTTTTATTCCAGATGAATTTTTGAAGAGTTTGTTCTAGATCTTTGAAGTAAGCCGTTGGTATTTTAATGGGGATTGCATTGAATCTGTAGATTGCTTTGGGTAGTATGGACATTTTAATGATGTTTATTCTACCAATCCATGAACATGGTATGTTCTTCCATTTGTTTATGTCTTCCTCTACCTCTTTTTTCAATGTCCTGTAGTTTTCCAAGTATAGGTCTTTTACCTCCTAAGTTAAGTTTATTCTTAGGTATCTTAATTTTTTGGTGCAATGGTAAATGGGATTGTTTTTTTCGTTACTTATCTCATTTTTTTGTTTTCCCTGTTGACCTCACTGAGTGGCTTTCATATTCAGAGCATTGAATATATGAATGATTGCATGGATGGATGGATAACTTACTTATGTAGTCAGCTTTGAAGGTTAATGTAAAGGCAGGAATGAAATTAGACTTTGATGGAGAAGGCATGGTTACTATTGTACCTATTCTAGGTGGATACTGGCCACCACCAGCAGCTTCACCAAACACCTGCATGTGAAAGACGGTACTACCTCACTATTGTCACTTATGTTGAAAATGGTAGGCAAGGGTAGCAGTAAAACCACTCTTAAGTTTTTGTTCATAAGGAAAAATGGGGACAGCCAACTAAGATCAAAGCACAGAATTATTAGCACAATGAAGAAATTCTTGAAAATTATTGGCTTAAGTGTAGAGATTTAAGATCTGTTGATTAATTTTTAGTATCTTCAGCATCTTTGCAAATCTGCTTTTGAGGGTGAACATTTTTGTGGTTTTCAATTTATTTTTGCTTGATAGAGTACCATTGAATAATTTATTGAAACAACAATACAAATGCTACTGGTATTTTTATGATTTATGTACTTGTGAAAAAGAAAGAGCCAGAGATAGCAGTGTTGGTTCTGTGAGTGGGCTGCATATCCTGAGTTCTTTGATACTACACTTTGGATGAGTCCCTAAAGGTTTTTTCACATTTTGAGTAGCGTTACAGTCTATAAGTTATTATAAAATCCTATATAATAAAGAGCTAATATGCTAATTAGACCAAACAGCAGAACAACCATCCAGATGACATTCTGGATGAAGCCAGGGCTACAAGGGCCGGCCAAGGCTGCAAGGACTGAGCCCCTTGCACGAATTTCATGCATCGGGCCTCTAGTACTTTAATAATATAGTATGTTGTTGCCATTTTGAACAAAATTTTAAAATTATATCTAATGAGAGCTCTTTATTTTAAATTTCAAACTTTTTTAATGTTTATGGATTGTGGCTTATACTTTGATTTCCATAGAGCAGGTAGTTTTGAGATTGTCATTTAAAAGAATTCTAATGGGCTTTTCCTCTGAACTTGGCCACGTAGACACCACTCTTAGAATCACATTTATTTTTTAGGAAGAAATTCATATAAATCTTTACTCTGTGAATGTTATAATATGGTCTTATATATATTTCTCAGGAGAGTGATGCCTAGATGTGATACCTCAGTGATGTTGCATTCATTTCCTCTTTCTAAAAATGCATATGCATTCTGTCCTTTAGGTTTCAGTGTTTGGGGAAAATAATATGGCATACATTGTCTCACTAACAGTTTTGTTAAAGAAAATTCTCCTAAACTAATAAATATTAAACTTGGTGCTGACTGTTGCAAGAAATATTTCATTTCAATGAAGCAGTTCATGATTTAGTCCTCAGAAATGGACTAGGAGACGAAAAATGTTTCTTCCCTAGTTTCATTTTGTGTATTCCACAAGTTTGTGCTAAATAAATATGTTTTTTCCACCAAAAATAGAATGCAATAAACATCTTCAAATTCAGTTTCTTAAAAAAGAAAATTCTCCTTAGTCAGATTCTGACTTTGTTGTTTTAAAAATCTGCTTTTATTTTTCTAGAGTTAAGCTGAAGTATGTAAAACTAAAGAAATACCTGACGGAAATATGTGAATCAGAAAAGATGGCTCATACTCGAAACCAAGAATATTTAAAGCAGTTTGAGTATTTCCAAGCTCATATTGGACACTTTACCACCACAAGTACAGAGAAGCTTCAAGAACTAAAGGTGACATCTTGTTTTGTACTATGTTTTTTTCTAAAATCCTTTTTTGCTAAAATCAGAAATAATGAGCACTTCGTTTCAGATCAGTGGCAGTCACAATGTTCAGTTCATCTATACTCTAAAAGATTGTCAGTTTTCTTTATGCATTAGCACGTGGCCAAATTTTGATCAAAGCACTTGAAGCTGCATCTTTTCAGATTCCTACTTTAGTTGAGGAATTAATGGAATATCTATACTCTGTTGTGCCATATGGATTAACTTAAAACAGGCACATACATCACTAGCCACCATCTGGCACATGGTATTTGTTGGACTCATGGTTGAGTTTGAGCAGCAATAGAGTTCCCTCTGAATGTTTCTTTTCTGTGGCCCTCTGTTCTGGTCAGGCAGTGTGTTGAGGGAAGACTGAGGGGATAGAACTGGCCCTGAGGAGTTTGCCTTCATGCTCCTTGTTGTGTGCCACAGAGCAACTGCTCTTAGCAGCCCTTTCTGATTCTGGTGTCCCATTCCCTTAAGGTGCTTGGCAACCTTGTGCTCTACAAATTATGCCAAGTGTGAAGGGCAAGGCCTTTTTTCTCACTATTTGGGTTGCTCAGAAGTTGTTGCCCAAGTTAACCCACTGAATACTGGTTATAGGAAAAGTGGCTCCAGTACTTCCCTGACTTTTGTTCCTAGCACTTATCTCCCCAGCCTTTTATTGTAAAAATTTCAAGTACATACAAAAAAATTAAAAGAATTGTCCTAATAAACATTCATGCTGCAGTCTGAATGTATTCCTCCCAAATTCATTTGTTGAAATTCGAATCCCCCAAAATGAAGGTATGGTAGGTGAGGCCTTTGAGAGGTGCTTTAAGTCATAAGAGAGGAACTCTTATAAATGGGGTTAATGCCTTCTAAAAGAGGCTTCAGAGAGCTCCCAGCCCCTTCCTCCATGTGAGGACGCAGTGAGAAGGCGCTGGCTGGCAACCAGGAAGAGGGCCCTCAGCAGAAGGTGGCCGTGCTAGTGCCTTGATCTTGGACTTCTCAGCCTCCAGAACTATGAGCAAGATTTCTGTTGTGTGTAATCCACCAGTCAGGGGTGTTTTGTTATATCAGCCTGAATGGACTACAACAACTTCTATGCTCTCTACCTAGATGCAGTACTTTTAAATATTTTTGCCATACTTGCTTTGTGTGTGTGTGTTTTTGAAACTAAGCAGCAGACACAATGATATTTCTCCCCTAATGGACATTCTCCTACATAATCATAATACCATTTATTATCACATCAAGAAAATTAATAATGATTCCTTAATATCCAGTCAATATTTAAATTTCCCCAGTTCCAGACCAGGAGCCAACCATAGTTCACACATTACATTGGTTATTGTGTTTTTTTTCATAACACTGGCTTTTGAAGAAGGGTGGGCTTGTAGAATGACTCACATTCTGAATTTAACTGGTTATTTCTTTGAGGTATCATTTAGCTAGTACGTGTGTATTACATGCCATTGAGTGGCTCCAACCCCACATTATGAATGAGTGATGTCCACAGTGTCCTGTCCTCAAAAGCCCTTCTTAGCTCCTATAGACTCATGTCTGTGGTTTCCTTTAAGGACTTAATCCATCTCATATCTGGTCTTTCTCTTTTCTTACTGCCTTCTATGTTTTCCAGCATTATTGTCTTTTCCAAAAAACCTACCTTTTCATGAAATAAATAAACTTGTATAGATCTCTCATATTTCCTGTAAACTAGAAATTCAGTCTAGACCAGCACTGCCTACTAGAACTTTCTGTAGTGATAGAAATGTTCTCTCTATAATGATGCTGTCCAATACAGTAGCCACTCGCCATACCTGGCCATTGAATAGTACTTAAAATGTGACGCCCAGGACTGAATTTTTAATTAATTAGCTACAGCTAAGGTTATATTCTTCTGCATCCCATCAGGAGGCTAATCATCTATGATGTCAGGTGGTCCTACCTGAGTGAGGCTGACATTGATGACTTGGTTAAGATGCCAATCTCTAGCTCTCTCTTTTGTAAGGTACATTTTCCTCTGTAAATTTGTAAATAAATCTATGGGGTGATGGTTTGACATCATGGGAATATCTTATTCCTCAACAGCCTTTTAACTTAGTGATTTTAAGATCTATTAACGATGCCTCAATCAGTCATAAGGGAGGTTTTGCAATGGTGATTTTCTAATTTTATCTTATACTTCTATAACTATTGATTTCTTGTTATAACCGAATGTGAGAAGGAGAAATTTGAAGGGAAGAATTATCCTTATCAATATTATCAGTATTTTTATATTGAGAGCATCCGATGTATAAAATAGGATATGTAAAAAAAATGTATATAATGCACTACTAAAGAATAACAGTAAAAGTGACCATCTTAAAGAAAGAATGATACATTGTATTTATAGAAATATGTAAAGCTTTATTCATAAACAATGAATATATAGATTTTACTTTTTGAATTTTGGATAAGGCTTGCCTTTTTTTAATATATTTTATTGATTCTTTTACAGAGAAGGATAGAAAGTTAGAAACCGATAAGAGAGAAACATCGGCCAAAACCGGTTTGGCTC